CAAGAATCTTAATAAAGTACTAGCGTAACTGCTTAAGGTTAAAAAAAAAAAAAAAAAAAAAAAAAAAAAAAAAAATTTAAAATTCTAATAGGTCGGCATTTGCATAAAGATACTAAAGCTATTATATTTCTTTCAGCAAATGAAAGTTATTCATCTTTGTATAGGTTGTATATTGATACTATTAGAGAACTTTCTGATTATAATCTTAGTCGTTCATCATTTTATTGAATTTGGAAAAAGTATATACCTGAATTTAAATTTTTAACCCCACGAAGTAATCTTTGTGATCTTTGTAAAGATATGTGTTTCTACTCAAAATATTGGTCAGCGAATGAAATTGAAAGCAAAATTAAACAATGGAACTATTATTTTGAATGGGCCCAACATGAAAGAATATTTTACAAGTAAGAATATTATATAATATATAGTATAAAATAATATTTTTATGAGATTAATTATTTATATTATTTATTTAAGAAAATGCAATTGAAAATACAAAAAAATCTATTCAGCAAATGGAAAATTTTTTCCTTCTACCTTGTCCTGGAATACCAAATACAATAAATTTCAAAAATCACATATTATGGGACTTTGCAGAAGGTGTTTATTTACTATTTTTATTGCAACAAGAGGTAATTATACAAAATAAATTATTATACTAAAAATATATCTTGATATAAAGTTGCTACTCGTAACATCTTATAGATTTACTGTATTATTACAAAATAACATCTCAGAATATTATTTTGAGATGAAATTTAAAGAGAGCTAATAATTAATTAAGTATAAACTCTAATATTTATTATAATTTTAATTATTATTATAGCAATAAAATTAAAATTATACAAAACACTAGAGTTTAAATTAAGTTAACTATTAGCTCTCTTTAAATTTTGGTTTGAAATAATGCTCTGAAGCATTATTTTGTAATAATACGGTATGATAATTAAATTTTATGTATTATAAAAATTTATAAGTTTATAAGCTGTATAATAGTAGATTATATGAACTGTTAATCTGACTATTGTAGCTATAGAAAGTCTAAAAAATTTATGAAGTTCTCAAGCATCTTAGGGTGTTCTTAAGCACCTTTATTTATGTAATTGGTGATGATACTTAAGCATTACAGCTAATTAACAATTAATGATTGTGCAACTTCAGCTAATTTGTATAAAATTTTGGTTGAAGATTAATTACGCAAATAGTGATGTAATTGAGATGTTCTCAAGAATCTTTCTTGATGTAATTAGCTAGTGATCGATATTACTCTCAATTATTATGACAAATTAAAGAAGATTATGAACAATAATTGAGCAGCTTCAGTTATCTATATAATAATTTGGTTAAAGATTTTATTCATCAGAATAATAAACATACTTGATCAGTTTAACTAATTTCTACTAATTCCTTAATTAATAGATCAGTTTAACTGATCAAGTGAATTTATCATTCTAATAAATAAATATTTTGGCTACAGATATCAAAAATTATTTGTTTTTTTTTTTTTGGTATTAAGATAACCTCTTTGGTCTTTTGACTTTTATTAATCACTTATCGGTATTGTGGTTCAA